TAAGATTCGTAAGAGAGAACAAGTACTGTGAAAATTGTCTTTCGTACTCCCACTTAAAGAGTGAGTGTACAAGTAACTTCACTTGTGTATACTGTCAACGTAGACATCACTCTCTTTTACACTTCCCGCAAAAGACCCAGACCCCCCAACCCAATTCAAAACCCCAACAAACAACGAGTCAGCTGTCGACTCAGACTAATCCGGATACTGAAGCGCCCACTTGCTCAAAATATGTGAAGCACCAACCCCCAGAGAAAATCGACGTAAATAAAGTGTCGTCTCATTTTTCAGCTACTAACGTGACAACTCTCCTCCCAAAGGCGATAGTACCTATATATTGTGATGGCGAATATCATAATATTCGCGCTCTGGTGGATCAAGGCTCACAAAAGACGTTTGTATCATCCCGGATACAAAAACTCTTGCGCTTGCCTATGATAGATGCTCTATACGAGATTTCTGGAATGGGTGGAATGGTGGTGCAAAACTCGAAGAAAATGTGCGAAATCACACTCTGCTCAGCAGATCGAGCCCATAAAATAAAGACCCAAGCCATTATGTTGCTCCAATTGACCCATTTTCTCCCCACTTCAAATATCTCTCATATTAACTTAGAAGAGATAAAGCGATTACGGCTCGCCGATCCCAACTGTTTCACCCCAAATAAAATTGATATGGTAATCGGCAGTGACCTAATCCCCCGAATTACCCTACAAGGGCTGCAACAAAACATAAGCGGAAGTCTTATAGCGCAGAACACGATATTCGGATGGATTCTGAGCGGCCCAATCCAGGAGAGGATCGCCACCTTTACCACCCAGGTAACCGAACCCCAGGAGGAATCATTAAACTCACTGCTGAAGAAGTTTTGGGAGCAGGAGGAAGTAGCAGTCACTGAACCCCGTTCAAGTGAGGAGGAGTTCTGCGAGGACCTGTATCAACGCACAACAACCCGGCAGGCAGATGGACGATATATGGTGAAGCTACCCATAAAACCCGAATTCCCAGACAGCAGCAGTATATCAGCATCGAAAGGACTCTGGAGAAAAAACCTGGCCTCTGCAAAAGGTACTCAGAAGTTCTGGAAGAATACATCACCATGGACCATATGGAGCCCACCTCATCCCAAGAAGTCATCAAAGACGATCATCCTTTTATTTAAAGCACCATGCTGTCATAGAACCCGACAGCAAAACAACAAAAGTACGCGTAGTCTTCAATGCTTCCAGAATATCGCACTCTGGAAACTCCCTCAATGACGTACTATACACTGGCCCAACCAAAACGACTTGATGCTTATCATTCTCCGGTGGCGTCTCTACAAGTTTGTTTTTAATGGCAACATCGAAAAGATGTATCGCCAAATTCTCGTCCACAAGGAAAACCAAGACTTCCAAAGAATCGTCTTTCGTAGGTCCCCAAATAAGCCCATAGGAGATTTTAGGCTGAAAACAGTCACCTTTGGCGGCAATTGCGCTCCCTATCTTGCAATCCGTACGCTTCATCAGTTAGCGCAGGATGGTCAAGACGAATTCCCGCTCGCCAGCAATATCCTCCTACGCGAAACATACGTGGATGATATTCTCTCAGGCGGGCATAATATACAGTCCACTATAAGCTCATTAACCCAAGCTAAAGACGCCCTAAAATCTACAGGGTTTCCACTACGTAAAATCACCTCAAATCACCCAAAAATCCTGGAATCAGTCCCAGATTCCGAGGTCCTTGATGTTGATTTTCTCCAGTTTCAGGACACTAGCTCTACAAAAACGCTAGGCATAAAATGGAACGCGCTAGCGGACTCCTTTTCTTACACGTACGACCCTGTTCCCGGTGCCAACTCGAGGACAAAAAGGCAAATATTATCAGCGGTAGCGAAATTGTTTGACCGGGCAGGATGGCTAACTCCAATAATGATTTCCGCTAAAATGCTCCTTCAGCAACTATGGATGGAAGGAACTGACTGGGACGAGCACGTAAAACCCGGCGCTTTCCACAAATGGAACACTGCGCGAAAATCTCCCCGCGATTAATGAAATTGTTATTCCCCGCTGGGTGCAATTCTCCCCTACTCACCGTGTACAAGTACACGGGTTTTCAGACGCCTCTGAAAAAGCTTATAGCTGCAAACAGTCAGCCTCCCCAGACTTGAGCTCTGTGGAGCCGTCCTACTCTCCAAGCTGGTTAATCAACTCCACTCCCAACTAGATTTGCATGCTTATGATTTGTACCTCTGGTCAGATTCTTCCATTGTGTTGGCGTGGTTAGAAAAACCGCCACACACTTGGAAAACTTATGTTGCCAATAGAATTTCGCTCATACTCCAAAATGTGAGCAATGCCACTTGGCGGCATGTACCTGGTGCAGAGAATCCTGGCGATCTAGGCACCCGCGTATGCCATCCCCAAGATCTTGCGACATGCGCATTATGGTGGAATGGCCCAGAATGGCTGCAAAAACTCCCCACTTCGTGGCCAAAAAACCCATCTCCACATTCGTCACCCCAGAACAACGACGTATTGAATCCTTGCACACGATTGAGTGGGTGGACATACTTGAGCGTTTTTCCTCCTTTGCTCGAGCGTGGCGAGTAATAGCGTTTACGTATCGGTTTATAAATGGAGCGAGAAAGCAGCCGATACCCACTTCTCTCCCCTTAACGCACGAGGAAATAAATCAAGCCNAAAATCACCTCAAATCACCCAAAAATCCTGGAATCAGTCCCAGATTCCGAGGTCCTTGATGTTGATTTTCTCCAGTTTCAGGACACTAGCTCTACAAAAACGCTAGGCATAAAATGGAACGCGCTAGCGGACTCCTTTTCTTACACGTACGACCCTGTTCCCGGTGCCAACTCGAGGACAAAAAGGCAAATATTATCAGCGGTAGCGAAATTGTTTGACCGGGCAGGATGGCTAACTCCAATAATGATTTCCGCTAAAATGCTCCTTCAGCAACTATGGATGGAAGGAACTGACTGGGACGAGCACGTAAAACCCGGCGCTTTCCACAAATGGAACACTGCGCGAAAATCTCCCCGCGATTAATGAAATTGTTATTCCCCGCTGGGTGCAATTCTCCCCTACTCACCGTGTACAAGTACACGGGTTTTCAGACGCCTCTGAAAAAGCTTATAGCTGCAAACAGTCAGCCTCCCCAGACTTGAGCTCTGTGGAGCCGTCCTACTCTCCAAGCTGGTTAATCAACTCCACTCCCAACTAGATTTGCATGCTTATGATTTGTACCTCTGGTCAGATTCTTCCATTGTGTTGGCGTGGTTAGAAAAACCGCCACACACTTGGAAAACTTATGTTGCCAATAGAATTTCGCTCATACTCCAAAATGTGAGCAATGCCACTTGGCGGCATGTACCTGGTGCAGAGAATCCTGGCGATCTAGGCACCCGCGTATGCCATCCCCAAGATCTTGCGACATGCGCATTATGGTGGAATGGCCCAGAATGGCTGCAAAAACTCCCCACTTCGTGGCCAAAAAACCCATCTCCACATTCGTCACCCCAGAACAACGACGTATTGAATCCTTGCACACGATTGAGTGGGTGGACATACTTGAGCGTTTTTCCTCCTTTGCTCGAGCGTGGCGAGTAATAGCGTTTACGTATCGGTTTATAAATGGAGCGAGAAAGCAGCCGATACCCACTTCTCTCCCCTTAACGCACGAGGAAATAAATCAAGCCAAACTACGTATTATCGGTCAGTTCCAAAGCCAGTACTATATCAACGAAATCAGCTCATTAAATCCAGGGAAATCTATTAGCAAAAAAAGCCCTCTACTGACTCTGAATCCGATGGTGGATCGAGCTGGAATTATGCGCGTGAATGGACGGTTAGCTTACGCAGCTCTCAGTTACAATGAACGTCACCCGATCATAATTCCAGAAAATTCCCAGCTCTGTGCTCTGCTGCTCGACTTCCTCCATACAACCGATCTACCTATACACTCCCCTTTCATACCACAGGTGTTGACTTTGCTGGACCATTTCTTGTGAAAACATCTACCCTCCGACGAGCTCCCCACGCAAAGGCGTATGTGTGTGTGTTTGTGTGCTTCTCCACCAAAGCAGTACACTTAGAATTATGCTCAAGTCTAACCACTGAAGCGTTCAAAGCAGCGTTCACCCGATTCGTCGGCCGCCGTGGAATCCCCCATAAAATCATGTCCGACAACGGAAAAACTTTCGTAGGTGCGCAGCGAAAGCTGCAAAGAGAATTCTCCCAGTTTCTTAACGAAGCGGCTACTGATATCGCCGAAAAATACGCAACCCACGAATTTGCATGGCAGTTTATCCCACCGTATGCTCCTCATATGGGCGGTCTCTGGGAAGCTGCTGTAAAAAGCTTCAAAACCCATTTCACAAAGGTAGCCGGAAATCACAAATTTACCTTTGAAGAATTTACCACTCTCCTTATTCGAATTGAAGCGGTGTTAATTTCCAGGCCGCTTTCCCCTATGTCTCAGGATCCTACGGATCTGCTGGCCTTAACGCCAGGACACTTTTTGCGTGGTGCCCCGCTCCTCTCTAGGCCTGAACCCCACTCTGACAATCTGTCTTAAGTAAACAAATGGCAAAAATTGAAGGTTATTCATCAGCAATTTAGCACGCGCTGGAAAAATGAATATCTTAAGGAACTCCATAAAAGGCACAAGTGGAAGAGACAAGAACCCAACGTTAAGGAGGGAGACCTCGTTGTCGTCAAAGACGACCTTCTACCCCCAAACGAGTGGAGACTCGGGCGCGTTGTGAAACTTCACCCCGGTCATGATCACAATGTTCGCGTAACTGATCTTTACACTCAAGCCGGAACAATCACGCGAAATATTGCGAAGTTGTGCTTACTGCCCCCTTTGTAGTAACTCCCTTTACATACGCATGCCTCCTTAAAACCCTACTACTCCACACCTACACCTCCCTCTAGCTGACTCCACCATAGCATGGAACTAATTCCGTCTTCGATGTGTTCTTCTTTCCACAGATGTCCAAGAATACGATGGAGCTCAGCCAGTGACGCCTCTGCTGCCGCCATCATCCGTTGCGGTTTTGCCGCGCATTTCAAGCAATGACGCCTGATGAGCGCTACGAGTCTGCGCGTATACACAAGTACTGCGTCAATTGCTTGGCGACGTCGCATTCAACCGGCTCCTGCAGCTCAGCCGTCAGCTGTCATCGGTGTGGGAAGGCGCATCACACAATGCTGCATCG